ACCCCTCAGCCAATCTGCAATCCATCTGACTGTGTAGGCATCGATGCCACAGTCACCTAGTTTTTTAACTAGGATGGGGTGAGAGATGGTGTCAAAGGCCTTGCTGAAGTCCAGAAAGACTACATCCACCGCGACACCTGCATCCATGGCCTTTGTGACCTGATCGTAGAAGGCAATCAGGTTGGTCTGACATGATCTCCCCCTAATGAATCCATGCTGATTGCCCCGAGCATCATTTCTGATGCCGGCCCATCACAAATGTGCTCCTTGATGATCTTCTCAAAGAGTTTCAAAGAGATGGTCCAGGTGGAGGACACGCACCTGGATGAGGGTGTCTATGAGGCTGGCAGAGGTCAGGCTTGGTATGGGGTGCTGCAGGGCTGGGTTGTGCACCAGGGGCTCCCTCAGGAGCTGCAGGAACTGCAGGCACTGGGCCTGGGGCTGGAGGCAGAAGGTGGCCTGCCAGGCTCATACCACACTATTGTAGGAGGCTGGAAGCACCTCCCAGTTCAGCAGCGTGAAGTCCAGCAGGAAGAGCTCCTTGTCGAAGCCAAGGGCCCACATCCTCTGCAGGACTCGGCATACCAGTTGTTGCCAGGGCAGGCATTCTTCACCGTAGAGGAGTTGCTGAAGGGCTTGCAGGCAGAAGGCGGCCACCTTGCTTTCCAGGTTGACCAGACTCTAGGACCCATCCACAGTAGGAGAGGATGGGTAGGCATCAGCACTACCACTGCAGGTGGGCCTCCACCCCCTCCTCAAGGCCATCCCAGTTATGTGCCATGAAGGTGGGTGGCCCCAGGAACACACCCAGAACCTTGAGGCCCTTGTGGCACCAGGTGAGGCCCCCTGGCAAATCCGGGGGGGGTCACGCTGGTCAATTCACCAAGCAGCAAGGTATCACTCTTGGCCCAATTGATACGGGCCGAGGAGACGCACTCATAGGCTTGCTGGCAGTCTGTAAGCGCCCACACATCTTCCTGGGTGTTGAGGAAGATGGTCGCATCATCTGCATATGATGACAGCTGGAGCAGAGGGCTAATGGATGGGCCCATGGCCCTTGGCTGGGCCATGTCTCTCAGGCGGTGCCACAGCACATGCAGCAGTGGATCACTGGCCAGGGCGTAGAGCATGCCCAACAGGGGGCAGCTCTGAAGGATGCCTCTGCACATGAGGAACGGGGTGCAGAGCATGCCATTCACCTTGAGCAGGCTGGAAGTGTCTTGGTACAAGATCCAGAGGGTCCTGGTGAAGAGAGGTCCGAAGCCAAAGGCCTCCAGGGTCTGGAAGAGGTAGGCATGGCCCACCCTGTCAAAAGCCTTCTTCTGGTCCAGAGAGATAAGGCCAATGTCCAGGCCAAAGAGTTCGCTGGCTGTGAGTAGGTCATACAGCAGGAACAGGTAGTCTTGGATGGTCCTGCCTGGAATGCAGTAACTTTGCTCACGCCCAGTGACAGAGGCCATGATGGTGCAGAGGCAGGTCACCAGTGCCTTGGCCAGAATCTTGTAGTCCACACACAGAAGGGAGACCAGCCACCACTTCTTAATGCAGCCAATGTCTCCCTTTTTGGTCAGCAGCATGAGCACTGCTCGGTGGCAGCTGACCAGTAGGACCTTGTTGACGAGGCTCTCCCAGAAAACGCATAGGAGGCAGGGGCTGAGGAGAGGCCAGAAGGTCTTGTAGAATTTGGTGGGTAACTCATTGAGGCCTGGGGC